ACTTCTGTCTTCATTTACATTATTTCCTTGCGATATATTCCTAGAAGGTAATTACCCTGTTCAAAGTTATGAACAGTTTTAAGTCTCTTGATAGTGCTGAATTTCTTTCTAGAAAGGTTGCACTGATCACACTCTCCCGAGTAATACAGGAAACTGCCTGCTTATAGCTGTTCTCTTTTTGTTCATACTAGTCAGCAGAAACAAAAGCATTCTACTGACTTGCCTTTGTATCAGTAAAAGTTAATGGAAGCTGGCCATTTTCCCACCGTTATTTAGTAGAGTAAAATGTGTAATTGTGTTGAATGAACCCAAGCTTCATTTTTTTCTTGATAGAAATTCTGTGAGTATTTCATCTGGTGGTTATACATTGTGCTTGAACACTTTTGTATAGTGGTGACCACGTATGGGTTATGCTTGCTCACCATTGGCTATTTTCCTTAAGCTAATTATGCTGTAGAGAAATAATCAGTCCAGTAGAGTTTGTGTACTACTTAGTGTTTTCTTTACACACAAGAATGACAGGGGTTGAAAGGACTGTTGAAACCATTGTAAAACTCATTCATTCTAACAAGAAACATTTATTCAGTGTTTGATTAGTTGTTGTCACTGTGCCGCTTTATAGTAATAAAGAAAGCTTACAGCATTCTGAATGTGTCCAAAATGAAAAACAAGCAAAATAATCCAAATGTGATCCATGTAACAGATGCTTCAGATACCTTTTGAAATGTTACTTCTTAGAGCAGTCTTGTGGAGAAGTGGACTTGACCACCATGCCCGCTGTTTGGACATTCCAGGCAGCTGTATCCCAACAGTAATGATAGAAATAGTAACAGTAATGATACTAGCTGCCATTTATTGAGTGCCTATTACGTTCCTTCAAGATACTGTTGTGCTTTTTACCTTCCTATTACCAATGCAAGGTATATGTTATTTTCATGTTGAGAAATAGAGGGAACGTAAGATTCAGAGAGAGGGAGCAAGAGAGAGACAGCCAGAGTTCTCCAAGTTCTTCTGAGTATATATCCGTAGGAAATCAAATCTCCATGTCAAAGAGACATCTGTACTCTCTTGTTCACTGCGGGATTATTCACAATGGCTAAGATGTGGGATCAACCTAAATGTCCATCAATAGATGAGTGCATAAAGAAAATGTGATGTGTGTATACAATAGAATATTATTCAGCCTTTAGATAGAAGGAAATCCTGTGATTTGCGACAACAAGGATGAACTTGTTAATCATTTATGTTATCAGTAAAGCCTCCAATTAACAACAGCCTATTAGTTAAGTTCTGGGGAAGTCTTGGACCTTTGATTGAGAAGTATACTCTTTTTTTTTTTTTTTTTTTTTTTTTTTTTTTGCATAGATTGTTCTAGCTTTGGCCATCAGGAATTCCTTCAGGTTGTTTTCTGTGTTCTTTCAACAAGCCATCATCTTTTTTTTTTTTAAATGAGGCAGGGTCTCACTCTGTCACCCAGGCTGGAGTGCAGTGGTATGATCATGGCTCATTGCAGCCTTGAACTCCTGGGCTCATGCAATCCTCCTGCCTTAGCTCCCCAGTAACTGGGACTATAGGTGTGTGCCACCATACCCGGCTAATATATTAAAGGATTTGTGTGTGTGTGTGTGTGTGTGTGTGTGTGTGTGTGTAGACAGGGTCTTGCCATGTTGCCCAGGCTGCTCTCGAACTTCTGGGTCTCCGCCTGGGCTTTCCAAAGTGTTAGGATCATAGACATGAGCCACTACACCCTACCAAGAAATGCACTTGACTGGGGGTTAGGAGGCACTGATTTCCCTCCCTCAGTCAGTTGAAAATTCACATATACCTTTTGATTTACCCAGAACTTAACTACTAATAGCCCGTTGTTAATTGGAGGCTTTACTGATAACATAAATGATTAACACATATTTTTTTTGAGACAAAGTCTCACTCTGTTGCCCAAGCTGGAGTGCAGTGGTGTGATTTCGGCTCACTGCAACCTCCACTTCCTGGGTTCAAGTGATTCTCCTACCTCAGCCTCCCTAGTAGCTGGGACTACAAGCACTTGCCACCATGCCTGGCTAATTTTTTTGTATTTTTTTTAGTAGAGACGGGATTTCACTATGTTGGCCAGGCTTGTCTTGAACTCCTGACCTTGTGATCCACCTGCTTCGGCCTCCCAAAGTTCTGGGATTACAGACGTGAGCCACCACACCCAGCCTGATTATATGTTAGAGGCATTATATACTATATTCTTACAATAAACTAGAGAAAAGAAAATATTATTAAAATCATGAGGAAAGAAAATATGTTTACTATTTATTAAGTGGAAGTAGATCATCCTAAAGATCTCATCTTCACGTTGAGTAGGCTGAGGAGGAAGAGGAGGGGTTGATCTTGCCTTCTCAGGGGTGGCAGAGGTAGGCGAGGTAGAGGAGGTGGAAGGGGAGGCAGGAGAGGCAGGCACCCTCAGTGTAACTGTTATTGGAAAGAATCTGCATATATGTGGATTCACACAGTTCAATCCATGTTGTCGAGGGTCAGCTATAGAATTGCTCAGAATTCTGAACTTTGTCTCATGGTTAGCTAGGCATATGAATTTATGCTAGTTACTTGATCTTTATGAGCTTGCTGTACCTTGTTGGTAAAATGGTTAAGAACACTGCCTACATCACAGAACTGTTGAAGGGATAAAGTGGAAGAACAGTGTATTTGTAGAAGTATGAATGTCGATGATGTTATCCTCCTGGGTGTCTTATGTATTTCCAGATGATATATTTTTTACAGAGAAATTTGATAGAGGTAGAAGGAAAGGAAGTCACTTCTCAAATAGAAGTGGGAAAGCTCCCCTAGTCATCCATCTCCCTCTGTTAGCGATGATAACCTACTTTTCTGGGTGAGGCGAATGACAGTGGAGAATGTAAGCGGGGCTGAGCAGATAGATAGAAGGTCTGAAAACGAGGACAAGAACATCAGACTTTCATTGGCAAGCTGGGGATGCATCAGGAGAGCAAGGAAGGGACACGAGGCTGGGGTGCATACCTGGGAATGGAACCTAAGTATGGGTTTGGTTTGGATGTGAAACTGGAACGGAAGAGCATTGACAGAAGCCCACAAATAACTGCATCAGAAGCACCTTTCCCAGAACAATTCTGAACTTTGTCTAACGGCATATGCCTTTGGAGGGAAGAAAGGCTTTCTTGTGTTTTGGCAAGGGTGCTGAGTTAGGTAGCTAATAGCCTAACAGTTTGACTTTGTGGTAAGATGTGTAAGGCTGCATTTGCATATTTAAAATTCATATCCACTGCAGTGACAAGTCACTGAACACTGTGGATGGGAAGACATTTCAGTGGAAGCTCAGCCAAAAGCCCTTTTGAAACAACTCTGACAAAATCATGCCAAAAATGAATAAAACCAGAGTTCCTGGGTATCTTTGAAAATGTCTCACAGGATGACAATCTCAGACAAAGGTGCTGTGCACAACTTCTAATAAGCCATCATACACAAGCACAGCATTTCAACTTGCAGCTAGATATCCTCAGTTCCAATTTTGAGTCAGGTGGAGTGTGTTGCCCAGGGACAGACTGTGCTTTGATAGTGACTCGGAACAATAGAATTCTCTCCTAATGCAGCTTCATATCACGAAGTTGTATATTTTCTCGGTACGATTGCATGGCCCTTGAAGTAACACAGCCACATAGTTATATGCTTTAAAGTAGCCCAATAGATAAGAAGTCCACATTTTAGAAGACTGATTTTTATAATGTAAGTTTATGTACGTAAATTATTTATGAACATTGGGATGTGACATCTCAAGACTCTCACTGGGATCCCTGAGTGGGTTTAAAACTGGCTTCTGTGGGAGTGGGGAGAAAACACTATGTGAGTGACCACAGCCCTTTGTGTTGTCTTATTGAACTCTTCCCCTGTGTTAGCATTTCGTCAGTTATACTTAGGTCCTTCTCACTCATTTGTGACTTGAACTGCCTATACTAGATGACATCAGAGGTGACTTTCAGCTGTAAAGTTTGGTGATTTTATTAAATTCTAGGCATTTTATTTACTTAAAAATCTAGGTCAGTGCTCTGTCTTCTGGCTGCTCTGTCACTCTTTCCCAACAAGTTTCGTCTTGTTTCTGGTTAATTGTGGGTGTATAGTAGAAATTTGCCCTTTTACCAAGAAAAGTTGTAATTGAGAGTATGCCACAAAGATATTACGTTCAAACGACATGACCAGATGTGAGAAGGTTTGCATTTAGAAAAATAGTTTCAGCTGTCCATTGGTATAGTCTATGACTTCGTATAACATTTTCTTAGGGTTTCTATTTTATTTTTAAAATATTAAAGTTAATCACAATCTAAAGTGATGTATTTTGTTTAAAACTTTTAAAAAAAATTAGTAATGTCACTTTGTGATCTAGTGAAGTAATCCAGAAGTTATGCTATGTCAAAGATAAGGAGAACTCTATAGTTATAAGAATGAATGGCAGAAATGTGAAGGATGGCTCTTATAATCTCTTCTCTTCTTACAATCTTCCTCTCTCCTTCAGAGGCCTCTAGCCAATCATTTGCTTCCTGTGTTAGTGGGACCCTTACTAGGATACAATTAAGTCCTGTATTTTAGGTGATCCCTCTAAAGTTTTTTGGTTTCCAATGTACAGGTTGTCACATTTAAAATTTTTTTCCACATCATGAGTTCAGGACATGATAACATAATAAAGGAGATTCTCTACAAAGCCAAGAATCTGAATGAGAAAGGAAGGACAACTGGAGATTAGGGATCTAAAAAGATTTATATCTAAAAGTGATCTAAATCTTTTAGATCTAAATCTTTTGATTTAGTGCATTAAGTATCACACGTCCATCAGCAGGTATATTTAATTGGCTCTTTCCGCTGTTTGGAGGTCGTAGTTGGGGAGATATGGCAGTAGTTTAAGAGGGAGCTGGTGGGAGACACACAGAACACACTCGCTTTACATAGAGTGACACCTGACTTGTGTTTGGCCCGTATGCTCTTTCCAGAACCCGTGAGAAGTTTCTACAATGGTGGGCTCAGCTCTCAGGAGAGGTTCTCATGCATATGTCTACCTGATGAGTAAGGCCGGTCACATCTCCAGAGGCCATCAGCATCAGGCCTGGGGCTCGAGGCCTGCTGCAGTACAGTGTGTTGCCCTGAGAGCCCCAGGCAGTGTGGTGGAGCTGCTGGGCAAATCCTACCCGCAGGACGACCACAGCAACCTCACCCAGAAGGTCCTCGCCAGGGTTGGCAGGAACCTGCACAACCAGCAGCATCACCCTCTGTGGCTGATCAAGGAGCGGGTGAAGGACCACTTCTACAGACAGTATGTGGGCCGCTCCGGGACCCCGTTGTTCTCTGTCCACGACAACCTTTCCCCAGTGGTCACGACCTGGCAGAACTTTGACAGCCTACTCATCCCAGCTGAGCACCCCAGCAGGAAGAAGGGGGACAACTATTACCTGAATCGGACTCACATGCTGAGAGCGCACACATCTGCACACCAGTGGGACTTGCTGCACGCAGGGCTGGATGCCTTCCTGGTGGTGGGTGATGTCTACAGGCGTGACCAGATTGACTCCCAGCACTACCCTGTTTTCCACCAGCTGGAGGCTGTGCGGCTCTTCTCCAAGCATGAGGTGAGTCTTGAGATGTTTCTCATTGTTGAAGGATGTCATTGATGTTTTCTGTTGAGGTCACTGGCAATTAGCTCAATGAGACCAGTATAGTCATCCTTGCTTGTCTTATTTTGCCTTCATAAATCATCCATCCTTAATGACATCTTGTGTATAGGTGTGCCTCAGTATTTTTTGACTGATTTGTTGTGTTAGTAACTACAGAAATTGGTAAGCCTTAGTTTTCAGTTGTCTGTCCTTATCCTTTCTCTCAATACTGACCTGCCTTTCTCTGGGTTACATCTTATGAATGGAGAATAGTCTGTAGCTCAAATTCGCCTTTAATCCAGGATGGCTGAAGAGGCAACACGGAAGCCTGTGGTCAGGTCATTCTTAGTTCTGTTAGGAGAAGTAAATTATGTTTTCATACTGTTAGAGAGAAATGAATTTCTTAGGTACCTTAGGGGTCTGGTGATTTATTGGCTTGGGCTGTCAACTGTGTCTTGTCTCCAGGCTCTTTCCTGACTCTCCCTAACTTTGCATGTTGCTATGGGATGTCTTAATTGCTGCTATTCTTGAAGTGTATGTTTGGATGCATGGAACGTTTTCTCCAGCTCCTTGCAGTTGTTAGATGTTATCCTAATATGTCGTGTACATTTTTTTTTTTTTTTTTACAAATTATGAAAATCCTAAAAGCTTGATTCCATTTCCCAAAAACTTACCATACTACTTGTCCCTCACTCACTTTTTAAAAACCATCTCTATTTTTATATAAGAAACAAATTCATTTAACTAAGCACAGGGTGTATTTCATTTTACTTCTTTAGCAGTTTTCCCTCCAGACACGTTCTTTGGAACAGGAGGAATTATTATTGCCACAAAAATCTCTCCTGCCAACATAAGCTAAATGAGTTATTAATATGAAAACAAATAGTGTACCATCCTTAGGCTAATAAGTAACCATTGTTTTGTTGTATTCAATAATCATATACCAGGAGAAAACTGAACAGGGCTGCCCTCCCCTTCTCTCCTTTTTCTTTCTGTTTCCTTCTGAATGTGCTATTATTTTGTGACTCTGATAATACAGTCATAGGTTAGCCTTATACAAAAAGGCCATCCATGCTGGATCTCTGGGTGTCTTAAATGAGCATTCTCATTTCTTGGAATAGCTATTTTCAAAGTTAGGAATAATAATGATTAATAAAGATGTACATTTATTAGGGAACTAAAATGAGATGAACAAAGATAGGTCAAAATCTGGGAAATATAACAAGCGATAGAATGCCATTTAAGATTAATGTGCAAGAGGAGCTGTGATGGCAGTAATATGACGTCCGGGTCACAGTAGCAGACAGGTGCTCAGCCCAGCTTACCTCATTAAACGAGTAAGAAAGGACTGTGTGCACTGACTTGTAAGCCTGCATGCCACGAAAGAGGCAATGAAAACTGCCAGGCACTTCTGGCATTTTAATGGGGGGAAAATCAAGGCTGCCACAGAAGATGGGAAGTAGGAAGTGGGTAGGAAATTAGCCTTCACCTTGTTTCCTATTTGTTTTGAGCGCAGTCCAATTTAGCAGTTAGCACAAATTACTAAACTGTTAATGCTATTGTATATTCTGCTTATAGTTAGAAATTTATGTGCATGTGTATGTATGTATCTAATCTTCTGATATAAGGTACATCCATGTTCATTGCTTCATTTATTCCTCTTACTAAAAACGTCATAAGGTAGATAATTTTGACTTTGAGGAATGAGGTCCTGAAAGATTTAGTGACTTATCCAAAGTTGCTGAAGCAATTGGTAACATGGCTAAACCTGGAACTCAGGTCTTCTGAATTCATGGCCTATTTTTCTGAATTCTGCTTTTTTTTTTTTTTTTTCCATGAAACTCCTTTGAGTGTGGGATCCGCTTATGACCCAAAGGGGAGTTTTGGTTCCAAGAATGGTATGGAAAGTGTAGTCAGAAGCGGGTAGTGCTTTCTGAATTCCTAACCTCAACTAAAGTGTTGGTAAGACTCTGACCTAATCTTAACTCTAAACAAAATGCTTTTTCTTCTTTCCGTTTATTTCACTATGAATACGATTTTTAGAGCTGTAATAATGTTACAGAGACAATTTCATAATTTTGTTATCTTTTAAAGTACTTTTGTTTAATCTTTGTAATTATGACTTTCATCACTATAAGGTGTATTTCAGGAAGAAGAAAAGTAAATACAGAGGTTCAGGGTAAAAGAAACAATGATAAATATAGAAATGGATGAATCACAGTAATATACACCTAGCTATTAATTGTGGGAAAAACCTTTTGTATTTTGAAAAATCAAAAATGAAAACTCTAGTTAACAGTAATAATCAGAGGGAGGGAGTAATCAATAGGTATTGAAAGTCTGCTAAGGCTCTTGTCATATTTAGGGATGGGATAAAATTACTGAGTGACTTCAGACTGTTGCAGAAAAAAATAGATTGCAACACAATCTATACATTTCAAACGGACTTGAATAGAAAAAGGGGAATGTAGAGCATGATCTCAGTTTAACAGATGTTAGGAAAAAGCACTGAAAAAAAGTATGGTAAATAGAAACCCCAAATTAAGGATGTAGATATAAGTCCACATACATCAGTATTCATGAGTTTAAATAGGTTAGACTTACTAATTAAAGACACACATTATCAGATTGGATATTTTTCAGTTAGAGAAACCTGAAACAAAGCCACACCAGAGGGTGAAGATAAGGGGCAGGAAGAAGATATATTAAGCAAATAGTTCCCAAAAAAAGTTGGTACAGCAATATTAATATTTTATCAAATAGAATTTATGAAAAAAGTGCAGTAGCAAAGAGGGATAATACATCAATCAGAAAACTTTATGAATTAATAATGTTTATGTATTTAACATAAAGGTACATAAAGCAAAACTGAAGAATTAAAAGTTAAGCTTGACAAATTTATAACCATGTTAGAAGATTTTAAGTGAACTCAGTCAGAAACCAATGGGTTAAGATGATAAAATGAGTAAAGGTACGGACAATCTGAACAGATGGTTAACAAGCTTGACTTATATTTATTTTTAAAATTTGGAAGCCATATATATATACACACATACACACAATTATATATGTGTGTAAACACACATGCAGACCCATGCACACACATGGAGTTTTATATGCAAATGTCAGAACTATATAGTCAAATGGATTTCTAAAAATTACTTATGCATTACTAATTGACAGTCGAAGGCAAACAAATGTCAAAGAATCAGCAACAAAAATAGAGCTTTGCCTGCCTGGCTTCAACATAGTTTATGTAGAGAGCAATAAGAAAGGATAAGTAATATGTTCCATATTCTCAGAAATTTAAAAATATACAAGTATAGATTCATGGGTTAAAGAGAAATATTAGCAATAAATTGCAAATTACTTATCACTGACCAGCAGTGAAAATACTTTGAACTGCTCAAATGTGGGGAACCATGGTCACTTCATTATGGAGAAACTTGATACTCCCCTCCTAAGCAGTAGGATCACAGTTAACATTNAAAAAAAAAAAAAAAAAAAGATAATGTGTAGCTAAAAGGGTACGTGTGGTACCTTTTGCTTTAGATCCATTTATTTTAAAAATTGAAAATGGAAATCATCAAATTAAGTGTTCAATTTATGATGCTGAAAATGACTTTATTACAAAAAATGTGAAATGGAGGTGGGTGTATAGTTTTTGAGTATCTCCAAGTGTTACCAAATTGATAGAGCAACTAGAATAGCAAAAACAAAAACCACAGACAACATCTACAACACAAGTAGGTGACAAGTTCTCCCTATTACAAATGCGTCGGAAGTCACAATGAATAGCCAGGAGTTCTGCACTGTATCAGAAACAGGTAGCACAGGGACACAGTGGTGCCTGAGAAAAGGAGAGCTTCCTTAGTGTTCTCTCGGAGCACAGGCTTCCCACAATCAGATTTCTGGAGAGGCTTGGACTTGAAGTACCAGTATCACTGTTCATTAGTGACTACTAACGTCACAGAGGGGCAACCACACTAACATGTCTCCTGAAGGAAGGATACAATGCCCACTATAGAGTCTTCCCTAAAATGCTGGACTTGAGTCTGATTAATTCTCTAGACCCAGCTACCGTATTTCCAGGACATATTTAGGCTGTGGGAAATTGTGTAGCAGGTCTAATGGAGATGTGATCTGCTGAATGAAATAAATAGGGAACTCAAAAGTAAGTATTTAGAAACGTTTAACCAAAGCTAAGTGTTTAGAAATGTTTACGCCATTATATTGAAGCATGTTATTAATGGACTTATTTTGTTGAACAGTGTGTGGATGGGTTCAAGTGTCCTTAAATACTCTTGGTGAGTTGTGTGTGCCCAGTCTAAGTAGCAGCAGTAGGCCCATGTATCAGTTTGTGATCCACTGGAAATCTAAAACTATTCCTTTACTATGGTTTGAGAAGCACTGCTATATGGTATAAATGACCTAATCTCTTCAAATAATTTCAAGAAAAATAAGAACGATGCAAATGATACCCGTAGATTAAAATAAAGACAGATCAATTAATCACCATGTGTGGATCCTATCTATTTTTAAAGAAAAAAAACCATGACATTTGAGACCATTGGAAATTTGGACACTAATTGAATATTTGAAATTGAGTTCTTTTTTAATTTTTATTTTATAGGTGTGATAAATGGTACTGTATTTTTATAAAGTCCTTTTCCATGATCTGATGTCTGTGATATTCTTCAAAACAATATGGGGAGGTGGATTAGGCATTTGGAGATGGATGCAAGAGGATTAATAATTGTTAATTATTGTAACTCGGTGTTGGATGCAGAGAAATCATCATCCTTTCTATTTGTGTATATGTTTGAAGGTTTCCTAGTAAAAGGCTAAAGAAAAAGACTGAAGGAAAACATTGGAATCAGTCAGTCAGTCGAAAACGTTGGCTGAGCATGTACTGGGATTCAGGACTGTAAGAAGATATCAGACAGTCACGAGATTGTCCTTGCTTTCATGGGGAA